ATTGGGAAAAACTGTGCCCGAGGTCATAGGCCGAGGGCGGTACTCAGACCGAGGGCACAGTTTCTCGCAATACGGACCGACCTAGGCCAGTGAATAACATTTTTATTTTTTTCCTACTGAGACTTGAAAGTTTCAGGAAAAGTTTCCTTCACTCTCCAACCTATGTGTGTTGAAGTAGGACGCGTTTATATTGATGAAGTGCGCGATCGATTGAAAACCCAAACAAAACATTTCAACATGACTTTTAGCTCTGTATTTTAATATTATGGCACTTACTGATCTCTTTTTAGAGGTTTTAGAGGTTTTTAGTTCAATCGAGCGGGATGAAATCTGCACAAATGAGCTAATTACACGTACCAATTTTTAGGTTTTGATTTGAATTCGCATAAAAGAAGGTGATTTGAGTAACAAGTTATAAACAAAGAAATAAAAACGGCGATAACCGACTACTGGAAAAGTGATTCGTGTCGTTTATTTATATTTTTTAAGACAGACAATCCATTTCGGATTAAGTTACCTTTAAGGTGGAGAACAAAAATCAAAGATAAACTGCGGACACAGAACAAGGTAGAGGTCGCATCATTTACACGGGTGATAAGGATTTCAGTCTCGAACCATTGTTCAGTTCAAATGTCGACATCTCGCGTAGTTTACGTCCTTGTGAAATCCTTTTTCTTTCATAGGCTCCTAGTTTGCGCAGCAAGCGTTTCCGCTTGGTTTCGAAGCCAAGAAAGACCGAGGAACGAGATTATCGGTCGTTCCTCGTTCTTTGCTCCGAAACCGCACGCAAACCCTTTCCATGCAGACTAAGGAGCTCCCAAAGGGTAATTTCGGTAAAATCTCTGTTCGAAAGGAGGGTCGGCCAGAATTTTTGCACACGCGGTTCTCCATTTTTCAGGGGCACCCAACGAGAATATAGTTCAAAACCACTTAACATTGCATTGTTAAACGTATTTTAGTATTTAAATAGCAAATATAGGCATATTTTTATCCCCTAAAAATTTTTCATCTGTTTAGATTTCCTAGCTGAAAGTCTAGTGATCGAAAATTATGGGGATCAAAACTTACCTTTTCGAAAATTTCAGCCAGAAAAAAGGGCTCCCGAAAATTCTAGGTGACCTCTTTAGGGTAAACATCCGTTAAAAATGGGCACCACTTTTTAGATGTTCAAAAATCGTAGGAGAGGAACACAAGCAAGAAATTTTACAACAAGTGTTCCAAAAATTCTAAATCTCAGATCGTCTTCCGAACATATATTTTGCGAAAATTGACGTTAGGTGCTCCTGATTTTTAACAAAAGAATAACAAGTATCAGTCAGACAGGAGTGAGCCGGCAACAGATGGATGAAACTTTAAGGTATTTGAATTTTTTCTGTTTTTTTTTTTTAATTGCCTATCATGATTTACATAATCAGCCACTGAAAGAACAGGGAATCAGTCTGGTTTAAGTAATATTGCTTTTAGGAGTCGGTTAATTCGTTTGACTATTGAACTGTAATTTCTATTTATAATTTAGCAAGAACATGAGTATATTTAATAATGATTATAAGAATTAAGAAAGTTCTTTTTACAGATGGCCTATGTCACACAATATGGTTTTCAATAGGGCACTGCATAAAAACTAAAAATTACAGTGTTAAAAATGACAAAATATTAAAATAGATGAACTAAAAAATGTCACACTAAGCGAACTTATTGAGATTGCAACGCTGTGTTGCGCTAAAAATCGTCGTTGCGAATCGTCTGTGTAACATCACCTTAAGACCTGAAACATCCAGTCTGTCGTCTTTATGCACTTAAATTATAGTCGCTTACGTTTCAAGTTTTATCTGTCGTATTATTTTCCATCCGATCCGTTTCCTCGAAGTTGTTTTACGTGTAAATTGTCTTTCAGAGAGCGGCGTAGGTTCTGAGCCTAGCTAGACCATTCTGTTGGGTACACACAGAGGAAGAATTTGCCTCTGTCAGTAGTTTCAGAATAAGGTGTTCAGAAATGCCGTGTGCAGTTTGTCGGACGTTATCCCAAGTCTAATTATTTATGACCCACATTTCAAACCTTATTATTTTAGCTAGCGTGTTATTTCTGCAAACGTTTATAATTAGTTATTCAGAACTAAGGACTATATCAGCTGCATGACTAGCAGAAAAAAAAACATGACTTGAGAACTAAATTTCACCCTTAACGTTTCAGAGGAGCCGGGGACAAACAATCATTTGTGTTTTCTTTTGCTTCTGAGGATCAGCTAGGGGCCTGTGTAAGTAGAACTGAAAACCTTCAGCTATATTGTATTGTGGTAGAAAGAAACAGTGAGAGGAGAAGGATGATCGGAAGAAGACTCTCCAACTTGAAGCAGCAACTGAATGAAAACCAAAACTTTACCCGGGCGGGATTTGCAGAACGCAAGGACAAGTCAACTTACCAAGATTGTTGTTTCAGTGGCACCCAACGTCAATTTTCGGAAAATATCTGTTCGGAAAACGATTTGAGATCTAGAATTTTCGAAACATTTGTTGTAAAATTTCTTGCTTGCCTGCCTCTCCTGGGATTTTCGAACATCTAAAGAATGGTATAATTGCCATTTTCAACGGATGCTACCCTAAAAAGGTCACCTAGAATTTTCGGGAGCCTTTTTTCTGGCTGAAATTTTCGAAAAGGTAAGTTTTGATCGCCATAATTTTCGGATCGCTAGACTTTCAGCTAGGAAATCCGAACAGATGAAAAATTTTTTAGGGAATAAAAACATGCCTATATCTACAGTTTACATACTAAAATACGTTTAACAATGCAATGTTAAGTGGTTTTGAACTGCATTCTCGTTGGGTGCCCCTGTTGTTTTAATTTGTTATCTTGCTTGCCCCATGGCAAAAGGGTGACTGTGCCTTACACATTTTACTCTTTACTTGTTCATTTTGCAAGATGATCAGATTCAAGCCTGAGGATATTGAGTTTTGATGAAAGGAAAAATTCTTCCATTGTCCCAATTATTTTAAAATCAAATAAGCTTGGCATTTCAACGCAAAACAATGGCTATTACTTATTATTAATAATAAAATCAACGTTCACAGCTAAATATTGTCCTTCTGAACTTTCATCACGACAGCAAAATGTCGGCAGAAATTTCCACCGACGTGTGTACTCCAAGCGAGAAAAAATGTGGAAAAACTGAACGAAATTTTTAGTCTGGTAATAAAATGTCGTTGAAAATTTTCATCGACTTTTTGAGTTTGCTCCGAAAATGTCGACGAACATTTTCCAAACCACGTTTTACAGATAGTAAAATGTCGATGAAAATTTTCGTCAACGTTGAAGTTTAAGATGTTGAATTTCTATAGAGATTAATTTGCAACACAAAACTGTACGTTGTCAAACTGAACAAATCATTTTTTGCCAGCCTGTTTTGAAGTATGGTAAAAACAAAGTTTTTTTTGCCTTATATCTCGATTATCTCATCGTGTTCAATACAGGAGGGTGCAAGTTAATGACAATCTTTTCCAAAAACCTTTAAGAATGAAAACATTTGTCTCATTCAGCTCAAATTTTCCAGGGAGGGATAATATTTGGTAAAATATTCAATTATTTGCGAGTTTTTATCGTTTTAGAATATCGCGTTTTGTTTTAGGACGTGTTCTAATAAGCTTTTCGTGCACAAACATAAATATTAACAGTGTGCTTTTTGAGAGTGGCACATCTTGTCTCCAAATTTGATGTCCCTCGGAAAACACTTATCTCATGGACATTTCGACCTTTTTACTAATTAAACTTAGGAAACTCAATCATTTTATGTTGACACCAGCTTTTAAGAGTAGGAAGCCTCCGTTCCAACTGCAACCTACGCTTAATCATTAAGGAAAATATATTAGCCACGCAAGCAAATAAATAGAGAACTGCTGAGAAATAGGTGTTGTGAAGTATTTTGCAAGTTATTTTAAAGACGGATCTATCTTATCTAATTTACTTGTTGCCATATTAGGAATGTTATTCGCTTGGCATTGTCAGATGTTAGTTTTTTTTAGAGGTGGTCGTGTTTGTGGTGTTAGGGCTGACCTTCGTTCTTTCGTACTTATCAGTTGCGGCTGTGCGTAGGCTAGTCTATTCCCTAACAATGGCAAACCTGTTGCAATGTCAGCGATAAGATATACAATAGAAACTCCTCCGGTCAGCTAACCCAAACATGTCCAGCTTTGGCTATATTAAAACCGCTACTATACTTCAACTAGTTAGTAGAAGAAGTAGAGATTAATGGAGCAGTTGGTAGAACTGAGAAAGTTGCTGAGTAAGTAGAAGTTGTAAGAAGATTAAGAAGAATAAAGGCAAGGTGTAAATCAGATTCCTGGTACCTCATCGTGTAGCGAGCAAGTTGCTCGAACACGCCCCCACATAGGTTTTGGGGGGAGACTAGAAATGGTCAAGGTGTAAGGACTGTTTTTTTGGTGCTCCGCTATTTGGCGTGTTAATCCTTGCAATTTGATGCCTCTGAAAAGGAAAGACAGGCCCACATCGTCTTCCTTGGACGCCGTTTCGCCCGAAGAGAAAAAAAGCAGAGAAGCCAATCGATTTACGAGTGAAAGTGAAACAGAGGTGTACCAAGCGAAATTGTTAACATTAAGTCCGCAGATCGTTTCAAAAAAGTCTTATTAGAGTATTTTAGTCAATGATGAATTTTAATAATGCATAATGATCAATGCTGTGGAATTTTTTTTTTTTAATCCATTTTATCTTTTGTAGAAAATTTTTTTTAACGTCATTACTTTTAATTTTATTTCATTTTATTTAGCTAGGCGTCTTGCGTGATGGTAACCCCGTTGCAGGACTATAAACTTTTGAATAAAGGTTAAATAAAGAGGACGAGGTACTAACAGCGCTATCAATGGCGGACGGTCTTGGGAAGAAAGTGGACATGATATGAAACAAATTAAGAAAGCTAGACAGCATTCCGACAGAAACGCGTCTGCATAATCTGCACAAATCAATGGCATCTCTCGAATAATCTTTTGCCGCTATGGAGAAAGACGTACAGAACCTGAAAGATAAGACGGGGAAAACGAACACGAAGGTAAACGATCTTGAAAAAAGTGTTGAGTTCCATGATCAGGACATTAGCGATTATCAAAAAGATCTTAAAAAAGTTCAGCATGAAGCCGACGAGCTCAAAATGCAACTCTTATACCAGGGACATTACAGTAGAAGGGAGAATCTCATGTTTGTTGGAATCGAAGAAAATGGTACACCGTTCGACGCCGAAAACGAAACGGCGAATAACAACGTGGAAAATACAAAGGAAGTGATTTATGATTTTCTGGAAAGAGAGCTTAGCTTTGAGAATGCCCAAAGTAGATTCGAATTTCAGCGGATTCACCGAGTGGGAAAAAGAACAGGTGGGAAGCCCTGTCCTATTATCTTAAGATTTCTCCGATATTCCGATCGGGAAGACGTCCTACCGCGTGCAAAAACATCACTCGAAGGGAAAGATTACGGTGTTTTTGAGGAACTTTATCAACTAAGAAAGACCCAAATGAAGAAACTTCAAAACGCAAAACATCAAGGCAGCACAGCCTATTTCAGCAGGAAGTATCCGGACAAATTATTTATAGACGGTAACTACATTCCTGGAAATTGATTTAATATTGATTTTCTTTCTTTCTTCCAACATGCATGTGAGCTAATATGGAATTTTTTCCCTTCTATGCAAACGGTAATACGTTATATCCGTAAGGCCTAGTGTCAACCACTGCGCGGTTTTTACAGTAGGGTTACACCTTTAATTTTCTTTAGTCATTGTTGTCGCCACTTTGTCAGAGAGGTAAAATTACCTTGTTGAACTTTTTGGGATTTAAAGCTCAAGGCGATGGGAAAATAGAATGTCGGAGTACTTGTTTTGGTCACGTGGTGCAAATTCTCGTTTGCCGTTTGCCGTAACGTGATGCTCAGTAGAGACCTTTAGCATTAGGTTTCCCATGGGAAACCGCAAACTGCAGTTTGCAGTAATGCGTTTACAGTTTCACGTTGTTGGGATATCAAATTTTTTTCAAGGTGTTCATTGTTTAGTTCCGCCATGTTGTTTTTCGTCAAGTCAAACTGAATCACTTTTATCGCCAAAAAAACAGGGATAATTCGCTTTTTCGAGTTCAAAAATCCAACAAGCACATCGCAGACGGATAAAGAAAGCTACTTCGTGCCTTTTAAACGTAAGCCTGTACAATTTTTCGTGGCAAAAAACCTTGTCGTAAGTCACTAACGGCTGGATGCCCTTCCTGCCGTTCAAACGTAAACTGCAAACTGACTTTTTGGCTGCTGCCCACTTGAAAGGGATTACAAAATGATTTGAGGTCAAAAACTTAAATTTTCTAAAAAGTTGGAGTAACGTCGAAATAGATCCAAAATAATGCCTACAATAGGTATGTTTCAGGTCGCTGAAAAAGTCCAAAAGAGCACTAACTTTCGATTTTGGGTGTGGTTTTTTTGGGGTTTTGACAGGGTCAACTGATTTTTTGGCGGGAACTCTAGTGCCGCGAGGATTCTGGGAACGAGAACCCATTGTTGTGCAATGGAAGCCATGATCATCGACGGGAAAATGAGGAGAAAATGCTAAAGTTTGTGGTCAAAACCTCCTGAAAATGGACTATTCTATTACTGCTACCAGTGGAAATGTTACGTCCCTCGTTCTGTGGCATTTATGAGCAAATTCATTCATCGGTATAGCTGCAAATCACTGGAATGTTGACCAAGTTTTGCGCTGTGTACAACCACATCGTGGCTTTAAAGTTTAAAGGATTCGGCTTTATGCTTACAGGTAAGCTTTTATTTATTTTCCCCTTATTTATATAGAAAATCTTGAGTTATCTTGCTCTCAGAAGAGTATTCCTGGTCTGAAAGTTTAGTCTCAGTAAACATGGAATGTTTGTTTTCGTAATTAATTCAGTTGGTAAGTGCCAGGCCAAGAGGTGCTGGAACCCTTAGTCATTTTAACAAAGGCTATGTAAGCTTATGTATGTATGGTATATAGATGTAAATTAATGCTTGAAGAGGGAAATTTAAAGTGAAAATGTTACAAGCTTTAAACTCCTGAACTTTCATCAATCTTAAATTTGATATGTTTTGCAGTATTTCTGTTTGTATGGAATTTCCAGGACAACACATTCATAAGCTGAATATTACAGTCGTATCGTCATGTACAAATGTATGCTTGTATCTGATCACCTGCTACATTTAACAATAACTCTTATGCTTCTTTCATGCTCTCCAAACTTCCCGCGTTCTCAGTATCTTGACATACAGTATATACACTGATGCATGCACTAATTATTAGTGCATGCATCAGTGTATATTCAACAATTCTTTGAAATCGAGGTGAATAGTGGCTGAATATTTACCAAACTGCAAAAGTGGCGAGGTAAATATTCCAAAAGCCACTATTCTCTGAGATTGAAAAGAATAATCGTTTTAGTATATACACACGAAGTGATCTCAACAAAATCAGAGAGGAAACCATTAAAAAGTACGATTTGATTGACAGATTAAGTCACGCGTATGTTTAAAAATAGATCTTTGCAGAAGTTTCAAACATGGCAATTCACAAGTTTATCGCTTTGCAAACAACAGCGTAATGGCTTAAATAAAACCATTAAAAGTTTGAATTGTTTCCTTACCTAAGAGGAAAAGTAGGGCTTTGTTGTTTTCTGTTGACTCAACAAGTTAACAGCCAAAGAGGTTTGTTGTGTTCAGCGTGCAAAGAAAGTAGTGTCCGATAGCCTGGGGCTAGTGGATTTTGCCATCGGGCTAGTGAATTCTGTTATTAACTAGCCCGACGGGCAATTGAAGTCTTTTGCGGAATTTAAATTACAGAAGAACTGTGAAATCAATCTGCTCATCAGAATGTTTTTGGGGCTAGTTGAAATGATACCTGGGCTAGTAAATGTTAGCTTCAGCTTGCCCGAGTGGCAAGCTGTAAAAGTGACTTTCCTTGCACCCTGTGTTTTGTGCTTCGCGTAAAGTGCTGACAAACATGGCGGCTCGGTTTCTCGAGGTAAGACGTCGTCTTCTTGTAGCATTCTTTTTTCGTATTTACTTGCAACATAGAATTTCTGCAAACATTTGCTTTCAAATTTACATTTATTTGTCATAAATAAACTTCGATTTCTGGGCCAAATGTTTCTTGTTAGAAAACGGTGAGTTCACGAAATGGCCTCTTCTACACGAATAAACGGGAGTTGTAAACAAACCATTGTGCACAAAACTCAGCTACAGTAAATGGAAAAACGCCGTTTTGAAACCTTTGAAGTCTTTTCTTGCCTTAAAAAAAGTCAACCCTAGGATTTTGTCGACTTTTAAAAGATCATTCTCTAAAAAAAATGGGAAAAACACCGAGCTCACACATTATCCACTCGCTAGGAGGTGAATATTGTTGAATAGTCCGAGATAGCAAACCAATCATATTGCTTAAATCATCAAGATCACTTACTCTGTACATACTAAATGTCAATATATTGAGTACACAGGAAGTGTGGAGAGCATGAAAGAGGCATAAGAGTTATGCCAAGAGCAACTTCATCCTCTTGAGTGCTCTCTAAACTTCCCAAGTGCTCAATATCTCGACAAACATTATCAAACTGACCTATGCAGCAGTTAAATATGTAATATGATCTCTGTGACTACCTTTATCAGTTTTATACACACTAACAACATAAGCATGAAAGTGAGGCCTAAGAGCCACCAGATTTCCAACAAACTTCAAACAAAGTAAGTAGGGTGGTGAAAACAAGAATGATTTCAACACAAGACATTTATTACCATATAATATTGTGTACAACTTTTGGCACTCAGTTAGCCAAAAATACTACCAAATTAATTCTATTAATTTAGTTTGCCACAACCAGTATTTTTGCTAAATCAGTGATAAAGAAACGTATAGTATTTTCGTCGCCTGGAAGTGCATTGAGGTTGTGAGTGTCACAAAACATCAAATATTGGCGTTGTGTGGAGCTGTAGGTGCGTTGAGTAGTGGATGTGAGACCCCGATGGAAATAGTGTTCCGCTCTCACTTGAAGCTTGCTAAGTCCAAGAGAGGTACTGGGGTGAATAAGGCCGCCACGTGAGGAACCAGTTCTTGAAATTGGCCCACCTGCAATTGACATGAAGCAACAGTGGGTGAGTTTTTGAGCCTGGGTATGTGCACCGTGGCATTTGCAACAAACATAGAAAAGATAGTGTATTAGCGACATTATATGATGACATCGGCTGGTGCCAGAATTGAGAATATGAACGACAGACTGATTGTCACAATGAAAAATAATCTTGCAGGATTGTAAAAATGTGGACCATATCGTCACAGCAACCGTGATAGCAAATAGTTCTTTAAATGTAATAGAGCGCCATGAAGGAATGCCAACAACATAAGGGTGTCGTAGGTGCAGGAAAATAAATCCTTAGTAATGGAATCATTGATTGAGTGACCGATGTTGGTGAATGATACACCATTTAATGGGTTTCGAGTGCTTTTTGGGAATAGCACCCATCGGCGATCTGACAAAATTTTCGACGGAAGGGGTGAGAAATGGACCGATCTTGCGACCAACACCAAGCTTGCGTTCAAGGTCAAGTGCAGTGGATGTAACATTCCATATGGCCAATAAATGGTTGTTCGAAATGCGGGAAGTTCTGCGGCCAGTGTATCCGATACGCCCGCCATTTTCGATATCATAGATTAAATCGTTAATAAATGAGAGATCAGAGAAATCATACAGAGCAGTCCTCCAAGTGGAAGGGTTAAATGGTGAGTTAAGAACTGGAAGTGAGTTTGCAATCGGCCATTGCGTGGTCCCTCCGACAAGCCTTGCAAACATGGGCTCGTTTACAGTCTTTTCCTTGTTAACATGCTTTTCGCTGGTACAAATTGCATCCGTCGAGGCTGTTGTGGAACCACTTTGCGAATTTCCTTTGAGACATTGCTGAGGTGCTCACTTTCGACGACACTTTACTCTCCAGCGTTTGTTTTGTACGAAAGGAACAATCTCATACCAGATGATGGTCCAACTTACAATGTTGGCAGGAGGTGCCCTCTGCACGAACTGCAGAGGAATCGAGGATAGTGGTGTATAGGGTGGAATCAATTTGGTCCAGTTGTTTAGTTGTGCCAGACAGACTCGTTCAAAATTGAACATCAAAATCGTAGACTGCCTTCCAGCGAAATTTCCAGTTAGCCTTTTGGATAATGCTGCGATATTGAGCAAGCTCCGCGTACCTCGCTGGATTGGTTAAGTATGTTTTTTCGTGCGCAGACCAAGCTTCGAGCCATTGGTCAAAAGATTCAGTGGTTGCACACTTTACTCTCCAGCGTTTGTTTCGTACGAAAGGAACAATCTCATACCAGATGATGGTCCAACTTACAATGTTGGCAGGAGGTGCTCTCTGCACGAACTGCAGAGGAATCGAGGATAGTGGTGTATAGGGTGGAATCAATTTGGTCCAGTTGTTTAGTTGTGCCAGACAGACTCGTTCAAAATTGAACATCAAAATCGTAGACTGCCTTCCAGCGAAATTTCCAGTTAGCCTTTTGGATAATGCTGCGATATTGAGCAAGCTCCGCATACCTCGCTGGATTGGTTAAGTATGTTTTTTCGTGCTCAGACCAAGCTTCGAGCCATTGGTCAAAAGATTCCGTGGTTGCTGGCTTTTTATCCTTGGTCTCGTTGCCCGTAGTAGTGGCTGGTGGGGGCAATAGAGTGATTAAATCTACGTACATGTATTTATTCATTATTACCTGATGGAAGTGTGATGGCAGGCATTGTTGCTTGGGTGTTGCAGCGAGAGGACTCGGGAGATCCCTTGCCCAGATGTTTAATTTCGTCTTTGAGGGCAGTCTGTTCCAGCTGTATTTTGGCTATCTCAGTGTTCAGAGAGCCATGTAACTGCTTGCAGTAGTTTAGCAGTTGGTTGGACAGGGTTGTATTGTGCACTAATCGGAGATCCTTCAGTGGTGTCAATGGCTTCAGCGCCGTCCTCGCTTTCCTCTGTACCGGGCTCGGTGCAGAACTTATTCAACAGGCCAAAAGCGTGGGCAGGAGCAGCTAATTTGCAACCAGGACAGAGACGCTTGCGAGAGTTCTTTTTAGAGGACATAATAACAAACGAGATGACCAGCGTGTATGTGATCTATGTAAAGCAATTGATACGAAATGCATGACTGAAACCAGATCCTATCGTGCCACTTCCATTAACTCATTTTAATTACATTAACATCACCAAAACAGATATTACCTGATAATACATGAAAAGCAACGAGTAAAGAAAAGAAAGAATATGTGTAATAAAGTCAAAAGCGAGAAAGACAAATTTGTTCAATGCAATGGTAAAAGAAGCTAAGGTTAAGGATTCTGCAATTTTATTTCTTGCGTTATCATGGTTTCATCAAGGTAATCATAAAAAATTGTCTTTTAATATTTCAAAGAGCACACTGATTAATTTTCGCTGAAACAATTTTTTTACATACATTGTATCTCTTAGTGGCATCTCATTCCATAATTTTTATAAAAATTGGGACGGCTTGTCTTAGTTTTTCAAGATTAAATTTTTTGATGTACATATTATATTTGGAAGATGATCTTGTGTCATAAGCATGAATAGATGATGTCTATGGAGCGGTATAGGGGTAAACTCGATGTCTATTTTCTATCTCACCTTGTTTACTTGTTCTGTTGTCTTGCCGATTTGTCATGTTGTCTTGTCCACTTGGTCTGTCGTCTTGCTGATTTGTCATGTCATCTTGTCACATTACAGAATGGCGCCTATAGATCTGCGTTGCCTGCATAAACACAGGCCCAATGACTATTTGCTCACTCACAAAGGATGCCGACGCATGTTGGTCCTTTGATTCAAGACTGAAGTGTTAGGGTATTGTTTCCATGATACAAAGGTAATTTTATTAACTTAAGCAAATCAATGGATCGAAGCTTTCACACTACTCTCTGTTTTATTAGGAAATGCAATTGCTCAACTTGATAATTATTTTGACTTAATAACATATTTTAATGATTAAAGACAGCAGAATGTATAGAATGCCAGAAAAACAAACGGGACGTGCAATGGTTTCGAACTGTGCTCGGAGTTGTTTTTGATCAGTATGCAAATCACCTACCCTGTCGCTTACTTTCCATCAAACTGAAATATGACTTTTTTACCATTTTTCGATTTGTTTCCTTTCATTTTTTTTAATATTATTTTGTGTTAGCTTAATTCTTTTACATGCCACGGCGATTCATATCTATTTTGCTTCTCTTACACTTATGCAAATTACCCTTCATCTGGCAGATTTCACTGGAGACAAAAATGTTGCCTTCGATTTCTCAGATGCTTGCCTCTTTGGGCACCCTTTTTATTTTGACTATCAAAATTTTATAAGCTTAGCTTCAGACTTTTCATTTCAACATTTTAATGCAGAAAGTTATGAGAAATGCTGTAACTGATTAAGTCATGCAACACACTTTAAGAGCACATAACTGGATCTCTCTGATACCTTTTGTTCTTCTGTTGTCTCCAAAATAATAAAGATGTTTCACCAATTTCCATCTAAAAAATAGGAGACATTTGATTGACAGATAAATTTGCATTTACCAGCAAACGTTTCTATAGGTCGAGATTCCATAATGCTATTTGTCATGTCATCTTGTCTACTCATCGTGTCGTCTTGTGGCTTGTGGTGTTGTCTTGTCTACTTGTCATGTCATGTTTCAGGCATATCCTATTTAAAAAAGATGGACTGGACTCTGGACTCTGGACCCTGGTCTCAGGACCTCCCCCCTAAACAAAAAAAATGTAAAAAAATTTTGTAGGAAAAGAAACAGAAATAATGTTTTTGTGGTTGAACACACATGAGCATGAGGGACATAGACTGATCTAAAAAGCATTTACCCCATATAGCAAGGTTTTACCATTTCTTATTTACACCAGGTTGAAGATAAACAAAAAAAATCTTTGTACAAGTTTCCAGTTCGGTAGCATGTTTCTTTTCGAAATACAGCAATTTGAACTTCCGAGTTTTCACAGTGCGTGACACCATAATAGGAATGCTGTCTCGCTGAAAAAAAGTCTCTCCTCTTGATTTTCAGCAGTATAACCATTTCAAGTTTTAGAAGGTATGTTTATGCACCATACATGTATGCTAGTTCTCGAGTGAAAAGAAATAGCTTTTATAGAAAAAGTGAACTCCAGATGTTTTTGTTGATTTCCGGCGGCCATATTAGTGCATCAAAGCGGTACACCAATATGGCGTCTCCATACAAAGCTCTACAAAGTTGCGTGAAACATTTTGGCAAACAACTCAGAAACTGTGGACCACAAAGACCTGAGACTTGGACAAATAGTTTATATACATGCATTAGTCTTTTATAACATTTCATTTTCTTGACTTCTTCAACTGGACAGTTCCCAACTAATTTTTTTTTTGGAAACTTAGGAGTTTGAACTGATTTGAAACATTAAATACATTTTTTCGACTTCTTTTAGTCCCTTATCCATATACAACCTTAAACAACATAGTTTCTTGTTTCCTTTTTCTTTACTATAAAATGGGGGGGGGGTTGTTATTTTGTGGTGAGGGGGGGGTATAGTTTCTTGTTTCCTTTTTCTTTACTATAAAATGGGGGGGGGTTGTTATTTTGTGGTGAGGGGGGGGGAGGAATGCTTTTTTATGTCCCCATAAAACGTTATTCTCTTTTCTCTTTCTTTTTGATACAAAAAAGGTGGCAGGGAGGGTGATTTTGGAGTTATTTTTTTAGGGTAATTTTTTTTGGTGGGGGGGAGGTCCTGAGTCCAGGGTCCAGAGTCCAGAGTCCAGTGCACGATCCAGTCCAGGTTTAGGATATTCCCAAAAGATGACATGACAAGTAGACAAGGCGACACGACAAGGAGACAAGACAACAAGACAAGAAGAAAAGACATTTTTTGACATCTTTTCTGATATTTTCAAATTAACCCTTATGATACTTATACAAGAACACCCAACAGAGTATGATGTCCAGAAAACTCTAAAACTGCACAAAATATTAATTAAAATCGAGTAGTTGTACGTGAAGACATGCAAGTAAAATTAGACAAAGAATGGCAATCCATTTGTGTGATTTAGTGAACATTTTAGACAAAATTGTCTTCTCAAAACGCTAGAAATAGCGTTTCAGAGCTTTTCTGATTTCAAAATTTTCTTGGGGAAAAAAACCCCAGACCAGCCAAGTGGCTCACCTATTCAGCGCTTCTGTGATTCGTCGGTGATTAAAAAATATCCCCATTTTGCATATTTAAAAAGTTGGACAGTCTGATTTCATCAGTAAAGAGGTGGTTTGGTAGATTGTTCCAGTCTTTGATGATTTTCACAAAGACGGAGTACTTAAGGGAGTTAACTTTAGCTGATTTCGTTTGCATCTTGTATGGATGGTTGGCTCTAGTGTTTTCACTTTTACGATCCTCGAAGTAGCCATTTAAGTCTAGGCCATTTAGTCTAAACACTGTCTTGTAGCATTCCACAAGAGACAGGCTTTCTCTTCAATGTTGAAGTGTGTATCAGTGTAGAGTTAAACCAATGTTCTTTGCATGAAATCATGCTTGGTCTTTTCTCAATGCTCCTATCATTGGAATGATCATTACGAAGCGCAGCAGCACAGCATTTGTAAGAACTATTTTTACCGTAGTTGTAGTGTGCACTTCTGCCACTTTATACAGTTTAATTGTGATGTACACTGTAGCTCTTTGGCTTCACTTTCATGCTTGTGTTGTAGGTGTGTATTGTGTGCTCACAAGCCTGCTCCCTCTTTGAAACACATTGCTATTTCAATTTGCCTATTCCGTTTGCCATTTAGTGCTTTCTGATGAAATTTGTTTGATGAATTCTTCATTACTCTTTGGGTTCTGGTTCCTGAAAGCCTGATTAGCATTATTAAACCCAGGATTAAAATTTTGTTCCACTTTTTGTATTTACCTTCCTGTGCATTGCTTAGAGTAACAATTTGTGTTATCATTACTGTATCTCAGAGTGAAGGCTCAACAGTATGATTGTTTTAAGCTTGAGTTACATGGTCATAAACAAGAAAACTGCTTAAAATTTGGCTTAATCTTGGGTTAAATTTTCAATGTAACCTTCTTTCGAGGAACCGGGCCCAGGAGCATAATGAGATAAGTGGAGAATTGACCTAAAACCAAAATGTTCGTGACATTCAGTATCCTTAACGTATTTTAATAGTTAATTAGGAGCTTTTTTGCACCATTTTGCCTCACTGTTATATTTAATCCATTTTTATAGACTTTGGGTATTTAAAGTTCCTTCATGTTTTAAAGTGGTGAGCTTTGCATGAAAACATGGTAAACTGAGAGGAGATATCTCAGGTTAGTATTATAGTATTACTGTAAAAGAATAGTTATTAACTTTAAGGTACATCTGATCTGTACCTTAATGGAAACCATCTAAGGACACCTGGCAACCTGTCTTGCTACAATGTACAGAATAAAGTCACCATAATTATTATGGTGACTTTATTGCCAACGAGCAGCCTTGCGAGGCTGCGAGGAGGCAGCTACTAGAGCCGTGCGCGATTGTTCCAGGGGCAGGAAAAATCTCAAATCGATGTAACATAGAGTAATGGAAGGCAACCATGACATAATGCAGGACAGAGAATGCATTGCTTTTGGGCGAACAAGTGATACAGATCAGAGAATCCATGAGTCGTGATCGTGTTTGTGAGTCCCGTGCTCATCCCGTCTTCAACCAATCGTCGGGTGAATCATTTTCATCTTACGCGATATCTGTCACATTTGCCCGCTGGAATTTTTTATTGCATACCGCTAAGAAAAATAATAACACGGCAAAATTTTTTGTGTCTTTGAAACAAAATAATTCGGAAGGCTTCAAAAGATACCAAATATAAGTCTGTACGTTGAATATTTGCGGACTTTAATATGATTTTTCGAGGATTTTGAGTTTGCTTATAAGACCACTAAATTTTATGCAAAGTGACTTGTCCGCAACTTCGGACAAAGACACGAACTTCAATATCTCGAAAATTTTGCTGCATAAAGTCGGGATTTCAAATTCTTTATATAGTAGAACAGTTTAGTTCACTATTTTCAAAAGACAAATTAAAGCAAGGGGCACACGTACACCAAACCCGTGATCTGCCTTCCCCCTGCATGTCGTGATAGAGCTGCTGTGCGTTTCCCAGCCAACAGCTCCCACATGTGTTGTGTGGAACTGGCACTTAAAGGACTCGCTGCTGCAGTAAAGGGTCTTTTTACACAGGTTTCCCCGGTCACTGACCAATGGCCATTCCATGCTGTTGAGCCCCAGTATGGGCGAAACCACTGCCCATGGCTGCCCGCCTGCGTGATATGGCTGTGCGCATGCGTGAGGTAATGGCTAGGCCATGGGTTGGTGTATGTGTGCCCCTTGCTTTGATTTACTGGTAATTTGTGATCCACCTTCCCCACGCATGTCGTGGTGGAACTGCTGTGCGGTTCCCAGCCAACAGCTCCCACATGTGTCGTGTAGAGCTGGCGCTTGATAGACTGCTTTTCAGCAGTAAGGGGTTTTTGAGACGCAGGTTTTCCTTGTTCATTAACCCAACGGCTGTGCCACACTGGTGGGCCCCAATAAGGGCCAAAAAGCTGTCTGTGGCTGCCACTGCCCCGAAATCTTTGCTCGCTGGCACTTAGTGATAGCTATAACTAGTAATTAAATATAGAAATCACTAGGAGAAACTGCATGATGAGTAATTG